ACTGGAGAAGAACTGTTCCTCGGAACATGCGACAGCAGAGGCGTTGGCGGTGTGGGCGTCCTCGTCAACACGCACTTGGCCATGAACATCGATTCGTACGAAAGTCTGACGACCCGAATCGGACGTTTGCGATTGAGAAGATGTGGTTCAACTCCAGCTTTTGACGAATCTTCGGTCGCCTACGCACAAACATCAAGCTGACGACCGAGGATGAGCCTCGCAGCGTTCTATATGCGAAATTGTGAGAAGTTCCTGACAAGCGAAGATCCACCCTTTCTTCAAGGTCACCGTCGGTCGCATTTTCATAACGCCTAAGATCCGGACCAAGAACGGCCTGAAGAACTTCATCGAACTCACGGAACGGAGTGGAATGAGCAGGGTGAAAGGCTGTCTGAGTTTATCATGTCGACCCACACCATCCATGGTAACTCGCAGTTCCAGAAGCCCTACTCTCTACGCTGGACATGGGAGTCTCCTGGTGGACAATTCCATAACGAGATCGACCACATCATCTGCAATCGAAGGTTTTGCCTGACCGATGTCGCTGTTGTCCCTAAGTTCTACACGGGATCCGACCATCGTCTCCTTCGCGCAAAGTTCCGCTTTTCGATGCGAGGAGAGAGAGCCGCAAAGTTCAAGAAGCGAAGCCCCAAGACCACCATCAACTGGGATCACTTCACTTCTCTCGCTGGGCTCTGGGAGGATTCTGTCATCGACAACATCGACGAGGAATACGAACGGCTTGTTGCACATCTTCACGACTCTGCCCGCCAGAAAGTCCAGAGGGTTCGCAAAGATTACCAAGAAGCGTCTATCTCTGGAACCTCTCGAGCTGATTCGCCCAACGTGGAGCCGCACGAGCGCAGGCAATTACCAGCTGTACGTCTGAGCTTTGCGAAGCTATGCAGAGAAGCGATAAAGGAAGACCTCAAGGAGAGAAGAGCAGCAGTACTGGTGGAAGCCGCAGAGGCTGGGAAGAGCGTACGCAACGCCCGCCGCGACTTCGCCAACTGTAAGACTAAGATGACCGCCCTCCGACGTCCGGATGGAACAATCACCGCATCCAGAAGGGCAATGGAGAAGGTCATCCACGACTTCTACTCGGATCTCTTTGACAGCCACGTCCACCTGCAACCATACCGCTTGGAGCAGGATGGATATGTCGTTCCTGCAGTTCTCTCTTCCGAAGTCCGACACGCCATCTCGTCGGTGAAGAATCGTACGGCACCCGGCATCCGACAGGATCAGTCCTGAACATCTGAAGAATCTTCCGCCAGTTCTTGTCAAAACTCTGGCTCGACTCTTCACGCGCTACCTGTCGGAATGCAAGGTACCCACCTCGTGGAAAACCAGCAAGACTGTGTTGCTGTACAAGAAGGGAGGAGGCCAAGACTGATGTAGGACGATGTGGGCATTGATCACACTGACAGCAGCTGAGCCGACTCCGAAACCAGTAAGCTGAAATTTTATTGACATCTCCTTTTCACGCATTCACTCCTCGTTTATAATACATGCATATAATCGAGTCACTCTCAAACAGTGAGCATTGAGGCTGGGCTTCGCAGTAGATAACCTATCTCCATAGTAGGACGAGGCTGGCCGGCTGACAGCGGCCGAGCAGACTCCGGGACCTGTGACACCTTATCTGAAGTGAAACTCTGGAGGCACAAGTTAGCGCTTAAGTGCAAAGAGTGCGGCTGCCTGAAAGTTAAACTTGCTTAATATGTGCAAGTTCACAGACTGGAGTGTGCCGTGTTCCACTCGTTAAAGTCCATGGGGAGAGAGCTAGTAGCTTGCGACTTGAGAAGCCCTCCACCCTGGGCACGACCTTCCCGCCCTTTTTACGACCATGGTTGCTCTGGTAAGGCAGAATAAGCCAGGAAATGGTAACGACGATCTCGTGGGAGAAAGGGCTTGCGTCGTTACGCCACCAGCAAGCGAAAATTCATTCAAACATTATCTTCTTGGTACTCTCGTAGAATATCCACAGCAAGAGAGAGGCTTACCTAGCGGGCTTCGACGTTTTCTTACGTTGTCCCTCTCGGATGCACCAGTTGCTCATGCTTTTGAATGGGTGAATATCATCACCCTCATTTCGTCGTTGTATCCTTTGCCTCCAAAAAGCCTCGTCGCAGCCAAAAAAGTAACCGGTGCCATTGGTAAGTTTTCCTGTTTTTCCAGGATGAGGGTACGCTGACCGCGGCCGAGCCGACTCCAAAACCAGTAAGGCTTCATTTTCTTTGATATCTCTGTGATCGCATTCTTTCCGCGGCGGCATTACGTGCATGTTGTCGAGTGGCAACAAAACAGTATTAATGGAATCTGACTACTGCACTGAGATTTTTTTCCAGGACGAGGGCACGCTGACAGCAGCCGAGCCGACTCCGAAACCAGTAAGGCTGAGTTTGAATTTCGTGTTGGGAGAAATAGCTCACGCTTCGATAGTTGGATCGCAGCTTATAAACTAACTAGTCGCCGTTGTCCTTAATGAAGTTATTCTTACAGGACGAGGGCACCCTGACCGCAGCCGAGCCGACTCCCAAGCCTGTAAGGCTTAATTTTTCATGTCATATTATAAATATTTGGTCAATACTTCCTCTACTTGGTTGTATGCGCGGGGCTACCTACTGATTTGAGCGGTTTCTTTACAGGACGAGGGCACTCTGACAGCAGCTGCGCCTACTCCAAGACCTGTAAGGCTTC